TCAGGACCAGGCTGGGTTCCCGCTGCAACCCTTGCTTATAAAGCCCGCGAGCAGGCCCCCGCCCCAGCCTTCTCTGATTGGCCGAGGGCTCCCAGACTCTCTTCCCTGCCCCACCCTCCGCTATATTTTTTTAAGATTTATTTATTTCTTTATTTGAAAGAGTTACAGAGAGAGGAAGTGGGGGGAAAGACACACACACACACACACACACACACACAGATTTTCCACCTGCTGGTTCACTCCCCAAATGACCACAAGCCAGGAGCCAGGAACTCTATTTCCCAAGTGGGTGGCAGGGGCCATCTTGCTGCTTTCCCAGGAGCGTTAAGCAGGGAGCTGCATCCGCAGTCGGACAAGCAGCACTGGGACTGGCGGGCTCCCTACTCTTTGCTTTAGCCTTGTGAGGCTTGAGTTCACTCTCTCAACCCCTGCTACAGGGGCTTGGTGATGACATAGTCAACACCATCCCCCCACACCCAGTCCCTGTCTTTTCTGATTTCCGGGGGTAACAAGGCCTCTGTGATAAGTAGAACACATGGTGCTCAGTTATCATCGAACGTCTGGAACTCAGAGATGCAAGCTGATTGAACTGTGCTCAGACTCTGGGCTTTTTCTAGGCTGTGCAGCACAGGTAAGCCGTGATGACTGAACGGGGGGTTGGAAGCCACAGTCAGTGTTGTTCTGTGCTTGGCAGGTCATGGAGTCAGGGTGCTCATGGAGAAGACGGGTGATTCAGAGTCATCCACTCCCACAGCTATGCATTTCTGTGACAGTGGTGCTCTCCTAGTAAAAGTCACTTTTTTTTTTTACTTTCTTGGGCCCTGGACATAATAGCAGACAGACCCTAGCACTTTGCTCTCTCAATAGGAGACTGGATAAACACATATTTGTAGATCAAAATAACAAAGCCACAATTGAACACAATTTTTCAACAGTCTGGAGACAAAAGTAGGGATTTAGCAGTTACTTGAAAGAACTAAATGTTCAAGGTCATTTTCTGGAGATTTTCCCAGAATCTTAGAGCCATTATGGTAAAATGCAGGTAGTACTGTGTCTTTAGCTTGCACTCCATGGTCTCCTGTTAGTTGACATGTGGTGGCATAGATGTACATTTCCATGCACAACATAAGGCATCATTTGAAACAGTGTTCCTGGCCTGAGACTGCACTCCTCAGGCCCTCTACCTACATCAGTCTGGTGTCAAGAGGGAGCCCCAGATGGCCATCCTTCTCCCCACCCCACCCCCTCTCTCTGCCTGTCCTATTCCTCACTCACTCTACCCTAGCTGAGGTCTCCCTGCTGTTCCTCAAACAATGCACTGTCACTGTTGTCTTTGGACCTTTGCGATGTCTGTTCCATCTTTCAGGAAAAGTCTTCCCCAGATACCCAGATTGAATACTCTCCCCCCCCCCTTGTAAGTTGCCTTTATTTCACTATTTCTGATTTTTCTCTTCCAATTCTGTCTTGAACACATTCCAATCCTGGATCCACCTCTGCTTCTCTGAAATTATTTTTGCCAGGGTCATGAATGACTTTCAGATTGTTCAATCTAATGATCAATTCTGAATCCCTCATCTTATTTTAACTATCAGCAGCATTGGGCACAGATGGTGAGTTCTCATTGGTTCACTTTCTTCACGTGGCTCCTAGAACACCCCATTCTCGTGTTTCCTTCAACTTCACTGGCTACTACCCAGTTTCCTTTACTAGCTCTTCTGTTTCTTGACCTTTTACAATAGTAGTGCCCCAGAACTCAGTCCCTGTTCTAGCGATTTCTAGCCACATTCCCTTGATGATGATCTTCAGTCCAATGGCTATTTAAAAAAGAATTGGGGGCCGGTGTGGGGAGCAACTCGGACTAGACTAAGTTACTGGAATTAAGACTTATTCTATGCATCTGCTCTCCCACAATATGGCGCTGGGAGAGGAGTAAACAGCTTCTATGCAGCTGCCTCTCGCCAATTTGATTGACTGAGCTGCAGGAGCTGATCTTGCTCCTGATTGCAGGAGAGCAGCGTGCTCGGCATGTGGTTAGCAGAGTTGGGATTGGTGGAAGAGGACTATAAAGGAGGAGAAAGACAACATGCACCAGGAACATCTAAGGGGAACATCTAAAGGGAACACCTGAGCAGCCCCCGAGAGAGCCGGCCGGCGGTGTGCCACTCCCCCGCGGAAGTGGGGAAAGTGGCAGGGGGAACCGCCCTTCCACGGAGGTGGAAGGACGGTAGCTAACCCGGGAAGAACCAGCAGCAAACCCGGGGAGGGCAGAGCAGACAAAAGAACAACGCAGGGTCCTGTGTCGTTCCTCCACGAAGAGGGGGAGCGACAGGCCGGCACTGTGGTATAGCAGGTAAAGTCGCTGCCTGCAGTGCAGTCATCCCATATGAGCACCAGTTCGAGTCCCAGCTGCTCCACTTCTGACCCAGCTCTCTGCTGTGGCCTGAGAAAGCAGCAGAAGATGGCCCAAGTCCTTGGGTACCTGCACCCACGTGGGAGATCCAGAAGAAACTCCTGGCTCCTGACTTCAGATCGGCGCAGCTCTGGCCGTTGCGGCCATTTGGGGAGTGAACCAGGAGATGGAAGACAGACTCTCTCTCTCTCTCTCTCTCTCTTTCCTTCTCCTTCTCCTCTCTGTGTAACTATAATCTTTCCAATAAATACATTATTTTTTTAATTCTTGGGTTGACAACTTTCTAATTCACATTTGCAGGCCAGATCTATATCCTAAATTTAAATCTGATATGGACAAGTGTGTACTCAGAACCTCCACTCGGATGTCTAATAGGCATTTCAAACTCAGAACGTCACAGCTTGAGCTCTTAATGTTTTCTACAAAATCTATTTCTTCTACACTGCAGCTTTCCCTGCCTTGATTGATGGCAAGTCCATCTGCTCAGGCCAAAAACCTTGACGTCACCTGCAATACCTTCCTTTCTCTAACTCTACATATCCAATCCATCAGGAAATCATTTTGGCTCCACCTCAAAATGCATCCAAAATCCAACCACTTCTCAACAGCCCCGGTGGTATGAATAAGGTCTAATCCACCATTATTTGTCATCTGGATAACTGCAACAGTCTTTGGCTTTCCATGCCTGAAATACTCTCATGGGCTTTTTAGCCAGATCCGAATGTCTTAAGGGCTGATTCTGAGGCCAGAGTGCTGTTTAGGACATCTGCCATTCTATGAGTCTGGGTATATCCCGCTTCCCATGTTGGATCATTCTCTCCTTTTTAATTCTATCAGATAGTATTAACAGACACTAGTCTTGTTTATGTGATCCCTTTGACACTTAATCCTATTATTATGATCAATTATGAACTGAAACTGATCACTTTGATGAGTGATTTTCTTCAAGGAAAATCAAGAAGAAGAAGTGAAATAAAATAGTTATTTATTATAACTTTCAGTGTGTAATGACGAATAACAATCATCCTAAATCCTTTGAAATTGGCCTACAACAATGAAGACAGTGAGAAATACTAATACATTTGTAATATTATATCAATAATATTGGCAGGGCCAGCGCTGTGGCGCAGGGGGTTAACACCCTGGCCTGATGCACCGGCATCCAATATGGGCACCAGTTCTAGTCCTGGCTGCCCTTCTTCCCATCCAGCTCCCTGCTATGGCCT